CAAAATAAAAGTAGTTATTGCCTTGTACAGTAAGAAAAACTCGACACATTTCAGGGAAATAGTTTTCAGGGAAATGGCAAAGCATAGTTTAATGTACAAAGCACTATAACTCCATCGGGGGGAGGGTCGTTTTTGTGTTTGCTCTTTTTTTTTCTGGTAAGGGATATCTCATGAGCTAGACAAATGACAGTGTACCGTTTGTGTTTTCTTGACTCATAGCCGGTGAGCCTCGTGCCCGCAGAGAATGCGTTGGGGACTTCATATCTCAGCCACAGTGGAGGCCACTGGTCCTTCTCAGTTGCTTCGAGGGAGACGTCAACGAAAATCTTGACAACCTCTTAAACGTAAGAAACCGTCTTTGCAGAAACCTCGGGTCTCGGTTTAGATAAGGCTTTTGGTGTATACCAGCATGCTGCGCAATTGTTCGGTAGCTTTTCTCTGGACTTTGCAGCAGACGTGATGTGGCTATTGATCACTGTGCCCCTTTCTGAACCTTGAGGGGGCTCTGACTTGAAATGGCAGGGGATTGAGCATGGTGCTAGTCAATTTTTGGAGCAGTGTTTGTGCTCCTAAAGTGTCCAGCATATGATAACATTTATACTGATTATGTAATAAAAACCGGTTGTTAGTTACTAATTCATACCCAACAACTTAATTTAGCTTGCCTAATGTGTAGTTAATCTTCTGTTAAATCTTTAGAACAGGATGGCTTATTGTATACGTTGACAGTGCAAAACCTACAAAAACTAGGAATATGACAGCTTTTGCTTGAACATTGCCATGGTGTTGGATTAGAGTTTGAATCTCGAAGATCAAAGCGGTGAAGAATAAAATTCAAAAGAATGGAGAGTCGATCACCTGGGGTTCATTTAGCTCAAAGGCATTCTTTGGGTAGTTTGGCCAGTCTTCCAGTTCAGTTCAACCAGCGCCTATACATGAGAGTCTCATTATCAGCAGGCCCCTTTTCCTTGATGTAAGCTTCTGAAAAGTGACTGTGTGATTTGTCACGTAATCACAGATGACAGTGACTCCTGAAAATGCTGAGGAAGTGGCTAGGGAGACGGCTTCCCTGACATCCAACGCCGATGACATCGGGCCGAGCGCCCTCATGACCATCGCTGGAATTCTGGAGAAACTGGTGGCTGCCAACAATACATCCCCAGCGGTGAGTACTCAGAGTTGCTCTGGAGTTAGGGATCCAGTTGGCTAGGGGCAGGGATGAGTTACCCTAACACCATTGGGGACATGTTGTCAAGTTTATTGTTAAGAACTGAGAGTATCCACTCTAGAAATGATTTGTTTATGGAATGAAAAGATTTGGACAATCATTGCAGAAAACAATCCACATTGTCCCCCAATGTTGGGTTCCTCTTGTGGAAATACCTGATCAGACATCCATGTCATCAAGTTGCCGGGCTCTGAAGCATAACTAGGGAAGTTCTGGGATGACTTGAGACATTCTCCATCTTTATCATCTGGCAGGTCGCATCTCAGATTGTCACAATTGTTAACAATGTCCTCCAAATTGACCGGGATGCCACCTTCGAGGAGGCGGCCAGCAGCAACTCCCCGTCGCGCATCGTGGCGGCTCTGGAGTCCTTCGTCTCAGCATTGCACAGCAACGGGGTGGGAAACTTAACCGAGGTACAGAGCAGCTTGGCCGTGGTGGCCCTGTCCATCCCCCGCGGCTCCCTATCTAACGGTTTTGGCTTTGGGTCCTCCCTCCCGATCTCTGGAGCAGACAGTCTGACCGGTGACCGGATTTCAGTGTTCATGGATAAAGATGCCCAGTTGGAGGCAGAGGCATCAATTTTTCTCCCGGCAGAAATTCTGTACGAGGTGTCAGAAGGTAAGAGCCAAGGGCACATCAGAAGTTCACTGAAACAACTGGAATAAAAGTAGAAGTAAAAAAAAAGATGGGAGAGTTCATTTTCACCATTTGACACCTTTGCAAGTGACAAAATGGACGTGGAAACCTGGACACATTTTACCATTAGGTCCTCAAACTGATGACGTCACACTTTATTTACATGTGCGCTTTCCATTGGAGTCGGTAGGGGGCCCACAGTCCACTGAGCACCATAGAAAAGCACACATTAGAAACAAAGTGTGGTGTCATCAGCACAGGGATCTCATGATGGTGGAACGTGCTCCGTTTCCATCTATATTTTACAGCTTGTCATTCTGGGACAAGCATTAGTTTTTCTAACTTCAATGAAAATGAAGAACCTCAGAATGGACATACAAAATTGCTGCTGGCAAACTTGTCCGGGAAGCTCTTCATTGAAAATGAAGGTAATGTACCAAATGAGAGATTCTAGGACAGCTAGAACTGAAGACAGGTTCAAAGGACAAAATTAACTGTGTAAAAGTTCCACTGGTTGAACTCGATCCACCACTTTTTTTTTCAACTTTCTGACCCAGTTGTTCTAGAAAACAAGATGGCACTTGAAGTGTATGGTATAAAACTAAAAAAAAAACTTGTACAAAAATGTCAAATTATAAATTGCATGCGACAGTCTGCTGCGAAAAGAATTATTACGTCATATGCCCTTGAATTTTGTTACATCGCTTTTCGCCTTGGATTGGCAGTTTGAAAAAGTATCAACTGAAGTAACTTAAAACTTACAAAGTTTTCTGGTATTGTTTTATCAAACAGGTGGCAGTGACCAAGTTCCCCTGAGTTTCTTCTTGTATCAGAGCAGCAGCCTGTTCCAATCGCCCACGTTGCATGACGCTGCAAGGCCTGAGGAAGGGTTCAGGCGTGAAGTGGGGAGTCGAGTCATCGCTGCCACAGTGGAGGGTGTGAAGATTGAGAACCTGGCCATGCCCGTCTCCAGTGTCTTCAGTCTGGTCAATGTAAGAGGATCCGATCTAAGGCTGAATCAATAATAAAGGACAGAATCCACATGCTTTATTTTTCAAATTGCGGACACTTTACTTTCATTCACAACTCATTTGAAACAGCGTTTGGGCGTAGCTGGGATTTTGTCCAGATGGGACAAACCCCAACCCCCATGAACAGGCAGTAGAGAATGTGAAAGGGGAGGGGGGGGGTCATTTGATGCATTTGGACACCATTTTTAAAAACTTGTTCTCAATGTTTGCAAGGTGACTGGTGAAAACGAGACCGTGCATGGTGCCCAGTGTGTGTTCTGGGATTTCAGCCTGAATGACGGTGCCGGCGATTGGTCCACAGAAGGTTGCAGGAATGAGTCAGTGTCAGACGGCGTAGTCAGGTGTCTGTGTGACCATTTGACCAGCTTTGCTGTCATTGTGGTGAGATTTTGCCTCCTGGCATTCATAAAAACGCTTACCTCTGCTGGCGTGAAATAAGAGTGGATCCAGAAGCAAACAATTTTTTTTTGGGGGGGGGAGCTTAGGAGCCAAAAAGTGTAGATTTTTAATATAAGTTTTTTTCTGGCCTTTGTTAGAGGTGAGACTACATCTATGGGGCCTTGTACCCACTTTTAGAAGCATAGGAAACAAAGTAGACCAAAACAGAAACTTTCTTTTATTATTTTTGAAAAAAAAAGAACGGTTTTGGTTCCTTTTGCTCCTTTTGGGCAAGGGCGTCAATCCGTTTTGAAAAGTGGGGCGGGGGAGACATAGCCCTGATCAGAACAAATGCGAGCATGGAACGCCAAGCCCTGAGCAGCGTGGGGTCCGGGGCCTACTCAAGGGCCCGGAAAAATTTGGGAGTACTATGCTCTGTGGTGGGATCTGAGACAATTTCTGACTACCTTCGCCAGTTTTTTTTTTACAAATGCTTTTGCAAAGTAACATTTTCAATTAAGGTTTTGGAAAAAAGTGGGGGGGGGGGCAATTGATATATTATTTGGGAAAAGTGGGGGGGGGGAGAACATGTCCCCCCATTCCCCACCAAGTGACACCCATACCTTTAGGGGCCGTGGCCCCTGTTGGCTTCATGCAAACGGTAATCTTAACCCCCTTTCACCCTTGGCTTGAACCAACAGACAGTGCTTTCTGTGCTTTAAATCTGGCAATAAACAGTGATTCAACAAATGTTGAAGTGAAAGAACAGTGGAAAAACTGTTTGCATTGACAAAGGAAGACATTTTACAATAACATCTAGATGTTCCACAAAATATAACATGAAAACATTGACCTTTCATCAATGAAACAAACTCTGGCCTATTTTTGATTGTGAGTGTGGCTTGTGAATTGTACTGCTCCAGTTATCAACTGCTAGAGAAAATCAAATGTGGAGTGATTTAATTGTGACCGAAAATAGTAAACGAAGCAAAAACAGCAAGTTTCCTGCACAAGATGCATTTTCAACTTCAACAGTCTCAACCACAAACAAACTGTTATAGCAGTATCCGTCTGTCGTCACTTCTCCAGTTGAGGTTGCTCTCCTAGACTGTTCAGCAGCCCTGGACTGATGAGAATGTTTTTCCATTGTTATTTCTTTCTTCCCTGGCAGGATATTTACGGGCAGCAAGAGAATGTGTTTTTGAGTGTCATCAGCAAGTTGGGATGTGCCGTGTCCGTGGTGGCTTTGATTATCACCCTGGTCACGTACCTTTACAGCAAGTAAGTCCTCGAAACTTGGAGCTCGATGCAGATATGTTAACATTGTCAATTCATGATATCACTCATCTAAAGAAAGTTGTAATCAACATCTTGGCCAATTCTGCAAGTCTTCTTCATATTCACCATCAAGGAAATTACGATCTAAGCAGCCCCAGCAGATCCAGATCAGCCTTTGCTTTGCCTTGCTGGCTCTCTACTTGGTCTTTCTGGTGGGCATCGAAGCCATTTCTCCCAGGGCCGGCTGCATCGTCGTGGCCGTCTTGATCCACTACTCCACCCTGGCCTCCATCGCCTGGATGGCTGTGGAAGCCACCAACATGTACCTCCTCTTTGTCAGAGTTCTCAATGCCAGAGTGTCTCGCTTTGTGCTCAAAGCCTCCATTGCAGCCTGGGGTAAGATTTGGGAGTTTTTGGGGGGAGGGGTATAGGTCAAGGTACCTTTATTAGGCATGGTATTCATATGACAATGGTTCTCTGTACCGTAACGGTTCAAATCTTTTGATGTTTAGTGTTAAAGTAAATGTTCTTGCTAAGGTAAGATTTCCTGCATTTTTTTTAACCAGGACTTCCACTGGTGATTGTCATCATTATTCTAGCTGCCGATTACAGCCAGTATGACAGCCCAAATTAGTGAGTATTTTAATCGTGCAGTATACATATGGTATATTTTTTGTGTTTGTAGTGGAGTTTGTCACACGTCCCTGTGAGTTGATCACTAGTCATCCAGCCTTAAGCCAAGTCGCTAGCTGTTCAAATAACCTGTCACAAAAGCCGGTTACTTATGACTGGTTTGCTGAAAAGAAGTGTGACTGGACTTGTGAGAGACTCGACTACTATACTCATTTGTTTATCTTCAGTTGAAAGTGTTTGCCAGCTTCGCTTCCTCTTTATTGCAAAACAATCATTTGGCTTGAAAAATTATCAGTGGATTTTTAACATCATCGCCCTTCGGTTCTGTGAACATTCTTGTAACCTGTGTACTTTGCATTGTCCTTGTTCTTAGCTGTTTCCTGAAGCCAGGCAATGCCATTTACTTCGGTCAGTTACTCCCAATCGGCCTTGTGCTCCTCTTCAACTTTGTCGTCTTCACCCTGGTCATGCGCAAGCTGACCTGCGCCCGCAAGACCATCAGCAGCTCCTCGGACCGCAGCGGGCGGCAGGAGACGATCCGCCGCCTGCAGAACGCCCTGGCCATCTCGGTGCTGCTGGGCCTGACCTGGGTCTTCGGACTGCTCTCCGTCTTCCAGGCGGCCAACTTTGCCTTCCAGGTCCTGTTCACGGTCTGCAACTCCCTGCAGGGTCTGATGATCTTCATCCTGTTCTGCGCCCGGCAGAAGGAGGTGCGGCAGGTCTGGTGGGAGATGCTGCCGTGCAAGAAGCCTGCCGTCCGCAAGGGAGAGGTGTCAGGCACAGGCTTAGAGTCCACCACACGTGGTGCTATTTCACTCTCCAGTAAGGTCACCAAGGAGACCAATTTAAGTGAAATGAGCCAGGCTCAGTCCTAGATATACAATCCCTCACTTCACTGCGTGCTAAATTGAAACATCTTTCACCTGTACATATGCTTTAATAGAAACTATCACTCAGAAATAGTGTGGGAAGGAGGTACATATGAGGCTTAGAAAAACCAGATGGTTACAACTTGATTTTATGCAACTATTTCAAGAAACCAATGCTGGCATACGTGACCATTTTGATGTGAAATGCACGGTTTGGATGATACAACCATGCAGACTGGTCTCAAGAGAAGTAATATTTTTCCCAAGGTGCATTATGCATCCCATGCACGCGCCATTTCTCATGGTCCATATCCCCAGTAACTTGAGAACACCACACCGGTGTGACTGTAGATGTTACTGCTTGATAATCATTCGGATGGCAGTGGTGATGTAATGCTCTGAATACCCCCAGTATCCAATTAGCCTAGAACTGATCTGAGCTCCTGACAAAATCTGCGTCACCAACTGTAATCTGTTCAGGTAAAAACAATTTGATATTTCACTGTGACGTCCTTGTACTTTAATGTAAAAAAAAAAGAGAAATATGAATAACAAGTTACTTCTTTATATGTATGAAAAAAGGAAACACTAAGAAACATACTTTGAAACTATTTTGAAGTTTTTTGTGTAAATACTGTTCATGTTTATTTTTTTTTCGAGAGTTCATTTCAATAAGATGAAATGTGTCTCTTCTTAAATAGGTCTTTGTTATGAATTTATGTTTTGTATTAACATTTTCCTCAGTATGAAATATTATTGGACCAAAGGTTAATGCAAGTCAGAATCCTGGCAACGTAACTTAGGTACGTTTGTACACATTTCCCTCAAACTATAAGTAATGCGACATCGTGAAGATGCCTGGTTAAATCACACCGATATTTTGAACAAGTTTCCTTTATTGCCTTTACGTTATGCTCGGTGTTTTTTAACCTTGAATTATTTTAAAATGACTGAGATACTTAAGAATTAGGGTTTGATTCTGGTCTTCAAAATTCTATGCAACAAGTGTCCATCAGTTCCTGAGTGTCTTAGGTTTGGAGGAACTTTCTGCTCTGAGATTTGTCAGGAACTGATCATCGTGGTAATTGCTTTAACAGAATTGCACTATGATAAATGAGCCTTATGCTGAGGCAGATAACTTTTGATCATTTTGAGGATTTTGGAGATAAATCTTGCCAAGTCTTTCCTTTTGGGGAGAGCATTACCAAAGCTCATAGTTTTATTTGATATCTTAATATGAAGAAATTTAAGAAAAGTGGAGCAAAGGTAAAAA